AAAATTTAAGGGGGTCTGAATACTTTCCGTACCCACTGCATGTGACAATATTAAATGGTCAGTTCACAGAGTGAGCTGTTCAGTGGTGATATTCACACAGATGGTCTGATAACTGTAATTAAAGTTGTTTACAAAACTGGGCTCACAGATCTTTTTAAGAGATATCTTTGGAACCAAACCGTAATGGGCTATAACTAAAGTAAACAGCTTTGTCAATATCAGTTGAGATGAGTTAATGTGAGTTAGTTGTAGCATGAATTATTTGTGAGGCAGTCTGTCCCCCACAATATCTCTGAACGTGGTGATTCAGTGCCGATGTTCCACATCTACAGGCGGTCTGTGGGCTCAAGTGGACAGTTATTGCTTTATTATTAAAAAAGAAGCGTGTGGGTGTTTCTTCAGGGTAAGTTTTTTTTTCAGGAGCAGATAATTTAGGTTTGCTCTGTGATAACTTTGATACTATGTGTGTTTCAGCATGCTCTGCGGCTCATGGCCTTTGGGCAGATCTATAAGGTCTTAGAAATGGACCCTCTCCCCTCAAGTAAACCTTCACAGAAATTCCCCTGGTCAGATAAAGAAGGTGAGCACACACGGCTAATTCATTACTTGAGGCTCGTGTCATTTTTTTTGACGTTTAAATAAGTCTAGTTTAATATGTCGATACAACTAAAAGTTGTTCGTAGGTTGATTTCTCTGAAAAGCGAGAAAACTCTGGCACTCTTCAAACGTCAGTTTTAACATTGTTTGTTTGAACATCCTAATCTGCCTGACAACAGCAACTTTGACTTTGAGTCATTGGTGTGAGTTTTGGGGCGGAGCTACCTGATTGTCCAATCGAAATAAGATAGAAGAAGTGTTTGGGAAACTTGTCTGAAAACAGTCATTATTTTTGCTAATCCATTTAGTGCTGCTGAAATGACACTTAACATAAAAATAAAATTATTCTGAAATTCTACCCACTGACATACAGCTCTAAGAGTCTGTTTTTAATGTGGTTTGAAGGTTTGTTTTCTTCCGCACATTACCTTTGCTCTTTTGTATCAGGTCTTGGGCTGAAGAGACCTTATGAAGATGGTCTGCTGGACGACAAAGACCTCATCAAAAAGATGAAGCGCAACCTGAGAAAAGGTCAGTCTGAGTAACGAGAGACAGATATATTGGTTAAACCAGTTCATTTGTAATTATATAATGTGTAATTGAGATACTTGTGGGCGTCTGTCAATAGCAGTGTTCGATTAGATGATTAATGGTAATTTCTTTGTGTATTTTGATTAAATATTGTGTCAAATAATTCTCATTTGTTATCATTAAATTGCATTATGTATTTACATCATTATATTGTTGATCAGCCTATAACGATAACTGTAGATGACAGTATCAGCATTGGGCATTGAAAAATTAATATCAGTCAACCTATAGTACTGTGATAGGTTTATTTTGGTGCACATTTTCTAATATTTATATCCTTTTTATATTTAATTTTTATGATAAATATAATATTTTCCTTTTAAATGACATCTACATTTCTTTTTAAAGTACTACGAGTAATGTGCCTCACCAAACCAAAGCTTTCTCAGTGCTTCATGACAAATATATACCTGTAATAAACGCTCCTGTTTTAAACCAGCAAGGAAACGCTGATACAGTAACCTACCTTCCTTCATTATGGCCCTGTTTAGCCTTAAACCGTGTTTGTCCTCTTTTTAGAATGATTAAAGAACGACGCGTCTCATTTTTCCTCATCTCTGCTCTTGTTTTTTTTATTTTATGTATTTTTCCGCTAATCTCTCACCTTCTTTCTCTTCTGAAAGCTGTCCAGTTCTCTCTCTGCTCTTTTATTTGTTGCCGTCTCTCTCGCTCCTCATCCTGCTGCACTTCCATCTGTTGCTCTCTCATACAGGAAGCAGACAGCCATTGGGAAATCAGTGACATTGATTCTTAATTTCTCTTGGAGCTGTGCTGCTGTTCCCAGCCTGTGCTCCTCGCCGGACTCAAATAAATCGCTTTCAAAGCAGCAGAATTGAACAATTAGCCAGCTGATGGAACTAAGGGACCACTTCCTTTGCGCTATAATCGCTAACGTTGATTTCTTTTCTCTTTCCCTTCCAGCAGTTCTTGAC